AAGACCCTTTTCTAGGTGTTGGAGATACAGAGATAGACATGCCACAGTCCTTGCCCTTGAGGAGGGTGGGGTGGGAGGAGAAGATGCAACACACACACATAAACACACACACACACACACACACACCCCCCACACTCAAATGTGCATGCACACACATGGAAATGAGCCATAATGCCAGGTTGTGTGTGATGGTGGCAAAAGAGAGATCCAGATAACATGCTCTAGGAATATTTGAGGAGGTGGTCAATGAGAGAAGGTTTTACAGGGGAGGTGCCAACTGAACTGAACTTTGAAAGAAGCTAACTAAGGATTCTGGAAAGGTGGGAAGGTGAGGAAGCAGTATGGTCCAGAGAGGGAGAATGACAGATACTGCTGGCTACATGATGAGGTTGGAGAAGGGTTTTTATTCCAGCTCACAGGATCATAGAAGGGATCTTAGGGATCACCAAAGGGACCTGAGAGGTCATCTAGTTCAACCCTCTCATTTTACAGAGGAGGAAACTGAGGCCCAGAGGAAGTAAAGTGACTTACTCAATGTCATACATTTAGAAGTTCAACCACAACAGTCTGTTCAAAGGAGTAATGCAAAAGAAGTCTGGAAAGGTAGACTGGTGGCAGATTGTGGAGAACTTTAAAGGCCAGGCAAAGCAGCATCTTAATTGGGCAACTAGGTAGTGCAGTAGGTAGAGTGCCAGCTCTGAAGTCAGGAAGACCCAAGTTGAAATCTGGTCCCAGGCACTTAGAAGCTCTATGACTCTGAACAAGTCTTTTAACCTCTGTGTCTGCCCCAGTTTCGTCATCTGAAAAACAGGGATAGTAATAACACCTAGATCCCAAGGTTGTTGTGAGGATCGAATGAGATAATTATGAAGTGCTTAGCACAATGCCTGGCACATAACAGGTACTATATAAACACTATCATTAATCCACAGGCAATATGGAGCCACTTTGAACAGGGGTGGGGTTTCACGATCAGATCTATACCTTAGGAAAATTCTTTTGAAAGACATTGTCAGTGAAGAGAATAATTAAGTAGCTATTATTGTATTGTACTGTATTATAGTATTGATAAAAGGTGATGAAGTGGTTGCTGGGAGAGAGTGGTCAGGAGGCAGATGTAAGATATTTCATGGAGTTAGAATCACAGGACTTGGCAGCTAAAAGGCTCATGGGGGAGGGGAGGCAAAAGAAAAGGAAGAGCCAAAGATAGCTCAGAGGTTATGAACTCAGCTGCCTGGGATGTTCAGAGACATTTGGACGGTGCAGTTCAGGGAGGTTTAGAGGAAATGATTTCACTTTGGGAATTGTTGAGTTTGACAAGCCAGTGAAACATCCTGAGGGTAATATCCAGCAAGGCAGTTATCAATGGAGGGCTGGAGGTCAAAGCAGAGATTAGGACTGATGTATAGACCTAGGTGTTATCTACCTTGATGGGATAAATGAACCCAGGGGAGCAGATGAAATTCACCAAGGGAGATATAATTTTCTAAAAAATGACACTCCTCTGCCTCCTTTAAACAGAGACGAAATATCACTTAACCTTTTCTTAATGACTCAGGGTCACCATTATGAATATCTTGCTTTTTAACTGTCCCTTCTCCAAGACTTCACCGTGCCTCCCTCTAATTTGCTTCTCTGTGGGTATGTAAAAGCAGATAATCAAGATCCTGAGCAATCATGTTACAGACGGCGAACTTCAGAAGTGAAGGAATAACACCTGAATTGCCAATGACGCAGAAATATGTTTTGCATGACTTCATATGTATAATGGGTATCCTATTTCTTGCCTTCGCAGTGGAGGAGGGGAGAGAATTTGTAACTGAAAATAAACATTAAAAAAAAGATTGTCCTATCAAAGAGGATGTTCCAGGTTTTTGATGTTGGCTTTTTTTTTTTTTTTTAAGGACTGAAGGGTAGGCCACTAAATGATCTCTAGGGTCTCTTCCAATTCTAAATCTGTAGGCTCTTTCCTCAGTTTCTCTAACTCTAAAATGGAGATAATAATCCTTGTACTACCTACTCAGTCTTTTCATAAAGACTTTAAAGCCCTCCAGAATTCTGAATTATTATTTTATGCAGAATCTAATGAACTTCAACTGTTAGGCAGTTATTCACATATTTATTCTCAGATTTGATTTTTGCTCCTTTGAGATTTGGTCAATTTGTCATTTAAGAAACTGGGGCAGCTGGGTGGCCCAGTGGATAGAGCACCGGCCCTGAAGTCAGGAGGACCTGAGTTGAACTGCGACCTCAGACCAAATACTTGACACTCACTAGCTGTGTGACCCTGGGCAAGTCACTTAACCCCAACTGCCTTAAAAAAAAAAAGTATGGGAAACTAACAAAGGTTTTGTATAGTGTTAAAGGGAATCTTTTCTGAACACTCTTATTACAGGCATTTCTTCAGACAGACGAATGTCAGAGCTAACTAATATTAGTTCTGCATATCTCATTTTATGCAACACTCATTTACTAAATGTCTTGTGCCAAGTAACGCAAAATGTGCTCAGATACAAAGATAAAAATCAACCCCCTGGCCTCAAAGAGCCTACGTTCTTTTGGGAGTGAAAAGATTCCTATGTAAGACAACCTGGGGAAGCCAGAAAGGAAAGGGGTAAGGTAGAATCTTAACCAGAGAGTCCATGAACTTGGAAGGGAAACACATTTTCTATTTTCACTCATCTCTAAGTGAAATTTAGAATTTCTTTCATTTAAAAACCTTATCCTGAGAAGGGGTCCATAGTCATCACCAGACTGCCTGCCCAAGGGCTCTAGGACACAAAAAGGATGAAGAATCCCTGGATTAGGGTTTTTTTTTTTTAAGTGTCGTCCTACCCAGAAATGAGTGGCTTCCAATGATCCCTCTTCCTTTTTTCCCATCCCAAGAGTCTAAGCAACTACAAGCTGGTAATACTTTAAATTTCCCTGAAGCCGTGAAACCTCCCAGGTTAGGGTATGGCCTCAGAGGATGCAGGTTCCCATCCCTTCTGCCCTCCTGGGCTGGGTTACTTTGGATATCACTCCAGCCAGCGATCTGGGCAAGATGATGTCGAAAGTTTCTTTCAGCTCTAAATATATGATTTAAAGTCTGAATCTGAAATAAGAAATGGGATTTTATGCAGTAGGTGCCAGCCTACTGTAGCCTAGGCACTTGAATCATACCTTCCTGTCTTGGCACGTTGAACACAGAAGGGAGAGAACAGCCTCTTTGTGGCAAGGAAGTATGGGGTCAGCTCACCAGGAACTGGCTGCCCATCTCCATTTGCCAATCAGCAATCAAGTCTAACACACCAAAGTGCTTACTTAAAAATCTGGACTTACCCTATAATTATTCCTCATAGTTCTGTTCATTTTCTACAGGAAATATAACAACATCAGGAAGGAATACTAATAAGAGGCTACAAATATTTACTGAATCACAATACTTTAGGATTGCATGTAGAGACTTTTAATGACCACGGGATCAAAGTGGTACAAACTAGAGGACCAGATTATTACAAACTCCATTCAGTCATTAGAAAAAATTCATTTAAAAAGGTAATAGTGATTCACAGTTTAAAGACTAAAATCCTCCCTTTTCCTTCCATCATTACTGTTCTAAACATATTTTTAAAAATAGCAGTCATTTGATATAAACCGCTCCTCTCCCCTAAAAGTTCATCTAATATTATTACTGCAGTATACTCATCTGATCTGGACCCTGGATTCTAGAGCAATCAAATGGTTTTAATTTCGTTAGGGTGGGGGGGTGTCTTAATTCTTAATTCTTCTAGCACATATCATTGGCATCAACACCAATTTCAGAACTGGTTCATTGGTAGAGGCAAATTTGGAGTAACTGGGGGAAGGCCAGTATTAGAACATCTTTCAAGAGATGCAAGTATTGCTTTCAAGTACCCAGAATAACAAAAAGAACTAATAAGTGTTTATACATGTATGTATGTATGTATGTATGTATTAATGGGGATTTCCATAGCCCTGGAAAATATTTCATTTGAAAGCAGCCCTCCAGCAATTATGTTGTTCATTTCCACCACGTGAAAAGCGGGTAATAAGGTTCTAAATGGGGTGTCTGCTGAGTTAGGGGTGGGGCAGCATGCTCCCTAGAGGAAAGAAGCCCTGGTCTTGGTGCCCCAGCTCTACTGCTGACTTAAGGCCAGCCATTTAAGTTGTGCTCCATGCTCCTCAATCTGTAAAATGGGGAGAACTACCATAGAGGAAGCACTCTCAAACAAGCCACAGGTGCCAGACACATGGAAGGTGACTGTTCCAAACTGCTGTTTCCTTTACCTTTGGGTTGAGGATTTTCCCCCTTGGACACAACCTGATATCTGCTGCTTCACTGGTCCACTTGGACGGTAACTATACTTCTCCTGAAACAAATATAGCTGGAAGAGAAATACCACAGACTTTTAAGAAAACAATGGTGAGATTTGTTTGAAGATGAAAATTTTCTGTGCACTAGATTTGGGACAGAGTGTGCTAGACCTAGAGTCACGCGTGAAAGACCTGGAGTCATGCAACTGCTGTCTCTGGCACCTGCTCCTAAGGGCCTTTGGGCAACTGACCTAATAACATCTCTTGTGCCATTCAACCAGCCAGCATCTAACAAGAGCCAATGTAGCTGGCATCATTGTAGGCACTGGGGGTGGGAACACAAGTGAAACAATTCGTACTCTGGAGGAGCCACCTCCCGGGGGGCTGTGTGGGAGGAGGGCATGGTTAGCTCCTTTAACACCAAACCTAATTAGTGAAGTCTAATATCACAAGTAAAATGGTATTCAATTAAACAGCTAATGAGAATAAAGGCATCCAGTAGCAAAAGCGGATTTTTTTTTGTCATTTTCTGCATAATGGGGATGTTCTGAGAAGGGAGGTGGAGAGTGGTAGGTGGGTAACTGTGATCAGGGTCAAATACAGAGAAAGGGACCATAATAGACAGTTATCTGCAATCAGCCCTTCCTTATGATCTGTATGAAAGCAAATTTTAAAATACGTGCAAGGGTTCAAAACAACGAGTCTTTATTAAGATGTGTTACATGAGGCACATACATTATGCGAGAGGAACTTTTCAGTGAAGAGCCTTCAGAAAGTACAGAAGAACAGACATACAGCAGGAGGCTCCAACGTTGGGAAATGAGACGATTTTGTTTGTTCTCTTTATCAGTTTTCAGGACCTCATTCTCACAGCAGGGACTTGCTTCAGTGTACCTAGTTAAGTAAGCACATGACAAATAGTGGGGATCCCATACCCTAAGTGAACACTTGAGAACTGCAGAGAACAAGAGTACTGGAATCTCACACTGGAAACTCATCTTAGAAATAGAAAAAAAAAGACTCCCCGCTCCCGCTTAAGGGACAAGAAAAACCCAGGAATGATGTAAAAAGAAAATGCACAACTTATGTAGGCCGTGAGAAAGAATTCCCATTAAGATGAAGCAATTGATATCAAAGACTCTTCCAGAAGACTATCGAGCCTAGGCCTAAAAAGAATCCTCTGCAGGAACCCTGGGAGGTTCCCCACTTTTTATTCAGAACCTGCCAGCTGTAAGGAGAGCATGCACTGAAGGGCCATAATAGTGGTCCAATAAATTCAGATACCCTTACATTGAACCACTCCTCAATCATGTCAACTTCAATCCCTTCACCTGGTGTTTACCTTTAACCAAGTCTCCTCATTCCCTCAGTTTATTTTTCCTATTCAAAACGACTTGAAATGCCATATAGAAACACCAAGAACAAAGGCAAGCTATGAATAAGTCCCCTTACCTCCATCTCAGAACTTTCACTACAAGGAAGCTCTGATACTGAAAACTGATTTCTAGTAAAAAGATCCAGACATGGAACAAAGTGACCTGTGTAAATGCCCACCAGAAAAACGTGGAAGTCAGAGTTGGGTGAAATTCTCATTTGCTTAGATCAAGGATTTCTCTAAAATTAGAAAATGGCCTAACACTGGGCACTGGTAACTTCAAATGGTTGGAAAGAATGCTAGCCCACGTCATCTTAATTAATCTCAGTGCTATTATCTGCGCTGCCCACCCCCAAGCAAGAACTGCATGTTTAAATCTTTGTCGGCCCAGCAAGTACCACATATGACTCAGCAGGTACTTCAACATTTGTTACTGAATAGAACTCTGTTCTCATTGACAAGACCCAAGTAACAGTGGCCATTTCAAGGTCTGTACTTCTTAGAAGACTAAAATCACCTGGCCTCAGAATAACAGGAATGTTTGACTAGCTAGATGGAGCTTATGCAAGCTATGGAATTATTTTGAATTAAGATAAGTTATTATTGACTAATTCAGTGTAGTAAAAAAAAATTTAAGTTCTCTTTCAATAGTCAATTTACTAGACACAAGACCCTACTTTAGCTAATGCTTCCTTCTAAAAACCAAAGATGCTTTCATATGAATGGCTGTGATTTATTCCAGTTTTCACCCAAAATAATGTACTGAAAAATTCACACTATGGAATAAATCTTAATGTGCAACATCTCAGTGAAAGATTAATGTCAGTGTCTAAAACCTGAGCACTTACCTACATGAAAGAAAACCAAAAAAAAAAAAACCCACAATCTAATGGCCTGAGCAGTTTTTACTCATTTCCAGTGTAAAATGCAGTTTAATTTGCTTGATAAAACCTGCATGTGTCCTAAACAATTGTGCAAGTAATACAACAAAACACTGCAAAACATATTTTTGTTATAAAAAGATGAAATTCTTTGCCTATCGATTCCAGCTAGTTGACTTTATAAATTTTAATTTTGCAATAGCATTTTAGTGAAGTGATATTGATTTCACAAACTACTGCACTATGAGGTGCACGACTCTTCAGAGAGCCTCACAGATAGAGTTCCCTGCATTTTAGCCTAATCATAAACACACTCTGTACCTATTTCTTTATCCTATTCATTATCAAAAGGCGATGGTCCCTTTAGTCTTGTTTGCCTTCCTGCCACTGGCGTGACCCTTCATTCCACGCAACGTAGACGAAGAGCGCAAGTACCACGTGAACAGCCACAACAGCAACAATCGCAGCATAAAAATAGCTGTCTTGGTTGGACATCCCCAAGGTACCTATCAGGGAAACAAAAACATACACATTTTGTTTTAGGCCAAAATGTACAAAAAACAACCAAACTGTACACACTGACTCCCTTATTTGGGGAGATCGCTCCCTGGTAGGGGGAAAGGGAGTTGTTAGCATTTGGGTCTGTGAAGTAACTAGGCCCACTGGGACAAGCCAATTATTCTGGAGGAGAACTACAATTATAACTTTCTCTAGAACTTCATCTCCTCTTTTCCAATGTCTGTAAAAGGTGCATTCCTCAGCTCCTGCCTCCTGTGCCAGACCCTGATCCCAGTGAGACACCATAGACAACTCACAAGATTAAACTAAGCCATTTTGCAGAAAAAGATCAATAAGTAGGATGTCAAGCTCCAAATGAAGTAAACAACAAAAAAAAAAATGGCCCTTCTGGAAGGGAATAAGAGCAATCTGACTTTTGGGAAAACAGCTATAAAATCTTAAAGAAATCAAATTAAGACTGTTTAGTTAACAAGTATCAAATAGGTCATAAAAGGACATAAACAAGTTAAAATGGAACAAGATAATAAATGTCTGGTTTTCTAGGTTTAGAATTACCTTCAAACACACAGGATTTAGAAGAAAAATATAATCCAACAGGTAAGGTGACCATTAAAGCTGTAAAAACCAGAAGAGTCTTCAGAGTCGAGCCTTCATTTCTGAAATGGACAAAAGTACGTATAAAGAAAAGTCAAGCTAGTCAATAATGCACCATTGTGTGCTGGTGGTAGCCCACATTAGGCACCGCAAAGCGACACACAGACCTAGACAAGCTCTACGTGTCTAAGGAACTTCAAATCTAGTTAAGGAAGAGGACATGGACGGGAAAAAAACTACTAAAGACATACAAAGCAACACATCAATAAGGGTAAATCAATATAGGGCAAGCTGATGAAGTGCTGAGGGGATGAAAGAGATAGAGTGATTGGGGTCATTCAGAAAATTGCCCCAACACATTCCCTTAATATCTCTTCAAACAAATAACTACAGTACAACACCAGTGGCCTTCATTTAACAAAGCGGCTACATTCAATGTTTGTTGTAAAGCACATCTCTAGTGATGTAACCCCCCCCCCATCATCTTCCATTACAAAACCAGAGCTTTTGTGAGGGATGGGGGGAGGAAACCTGACTGCTAGACATAAAAATACTGAATTTTAAATGCAGTCAGCTTTTAAAATCTATTTTTAAATTAAAAAATCAAGTGTTATTGTAACCATGAAATGTCAAAGCTGAAAGGGACTTTGAAGATCATGTGATGCCACCTCATCATCAGACAGGAAGTTGCTGAAGCAGAGGGAGGAAGTTACTTGTTCATGGCCATATTGGTGGCAGAGCAGGAGTTCCTTTCACAACACCCTCCTAGCAAATGCTGCCTATGCCATGCTGTACCCAAAGTCAGTCACAAACCAAAAACACTGCAAAGTCCAACTGTGGCACTGGAGCAGAATCTCAGGCAATGACTTGTTTTCCTAACATCATTCTTCTTCTAGATGGCCAAACTGCCCAAGTGTAGATAATACCATAAGCTGTTTGCTCAGCCTCAGACCGCCTGAACTTTTCTGCCAACTATACCCAAGTCTCCTGGTGCCTGAGCCAGTTCATCTAACTTTCTCATGGGAATTCTTCCTCTTTCCCCTAGGTGTTAGCACCCCCTCGAATTACCACTTATAATGATCTATTTACATATCACATCCCACCATTAGACTAAGCTCAAAAGCAGGTTCAATTATTTAAGCTTGATTTGCTCTGCATATATTAAGGTAGGGGTTTTGTGGTCTGAGGTCTGTGACTTTAAAAAATATATTTTGATAACTATTTTCAATAACTGAGTTCTTTTGTAATGCTATGTATTTTATCGTATGCATTTTAAAATATTCTGAAAAAGGGTCTGTAGATTTCACCAGACTGCCCAAGGGGTCCAAGACATTAAAAAAGGTTAAGACCCGCTTCAAGCCCTTAATAAGCATTGGCTATATTGTTCTTCTACTTCTTCATATATCAACTTGTCGAGGATGTGTAATCTCTTAAGTGTGGATATTCCCTCCCCAGATTCAGATAGGAAATCCTCTATAATTTAGCTTCTGGTCTTTGAAAAGTATCAAGAATTTCATCACCCTGCAGTCAATAGCTCTTCATCTAGCCTGTACCATAACTGGTAGGACTTATCAGAATTTGTGGTCAGCAAGCAGTTTGAAAGCTGAGAGTATTTGTGTCCAAGGCCAACATATTTTGGTGCCTTTTTTTTTTTTTACATCCTCCTCCCCAACATCCCACCCTATCACTCAAACCTTGAGCAAATGCTTATAGAGCTGTTACCAAGAGGAGAAGACAATCCACTGGCCCCCATCTGTGAAGTTCCAGGTCCCGTGGATACAAATGGGAGCCTGTCTTCAAGGAACTTGCCTTCTTACTTAGGTAAAACTACAGGAACTGAAGGGCCCTTCTTGCCTTGGCAGTGGAGGTCCATATAAATACACAAATCAACCATGCAATGCCTTCCTGTGTTGGCAAAATGAAGTAGTATACTGACCAAATTGTTCCCCACTTAGTGGTTTTAATGGGTGTCCCTAAATTAAAGTGCTGAAGTAATTAGCTGCTGGGCTTTACCTTTAACCCATGGAGGTTTGGGAGAGGTGTAGGGGTGGATGTGTGGATGGATGTGGCAAAAAACCGGCTGTGTTCTAGCAGGGGACACAAAATCTTAAGAATTAGTGTTGGCATCACTGCTAGAACTATGTGGTACACAATGGAAAGATTCTGGATCTGAATTAGAGAACTTGGATCAAATCCTAGCTCTGATGTAATCATGGACACAGGTCATTTCCTTTCTCTGAGACTCAGTTTCCTCATATGTCAAATAAGAGGTTGAATTAGTTGACGTGTAGTCCTTTCCACCCGGTCTGGACCCCCTTTTCTCTCTCTCTCTTTTTTTTTGGCTAGGCAATGGGGTTAAGTGACTTGCCCAGGGTCACACAGCTAGTAAGTGTTATGTGTCTGAGGCCGGATTTGAACTCAGGTCCTCATGACTCCAGGGTCACTGCTCTAGCCACTGCGCCATCTAGCTGCCCCCTGGCCCTCCCCTTCTCTTTTCCCTCTAGACTACTTTACCTGGTGATGTTATCAGATCCCATGAATTTAATAACCATGTCGATGCTGATGATTCTCAAATATACCTGCTCTGCCCCAGCCTCTCCGCTGACCTCCAACATAGCATCCACAACTGTCTTTAACATTTCCAATTCAATGTCCAATAGATGTCTTGAACTCAGTATGTCCAGAATAGAATTCATCTTTCCTCCTAAACCCTGCCCCCTGCTGCCTTCCCTATTACTATAGGGAATACCACAGGTATTACCATACCTATTACACCATCCTCCCAGTCCTTCAGACTCCCAACCAAGGAGTCATCCTGGACCTCCCATATGCAATCTGGTGCCAATGCCCGCCGATTTCACCCTTGCAACGCTTTTCAAATATGCCCCCCTCTCTCTTCTGACACTGCCCTCAGCACTCTGGGATTACTACAGTAGCCTACTGGTGGGTCTGTCCCACTCTAGTCTATCCTCCATTTAGACACTAAAGTGATTTTCCTAAAACGCAGGTCCAACCATGTCACACACACTCTTCCCTCCCCACTCAATAAACTCCTGTGGCTTCCCATTGCCTCCAGGAATAAAGACAAAATGCTCGTTTTTGGCATTCAAAATCCTCCTAATATGCCCCCTCCTACCTTTCCAGTCTTCTTACACCTTACGCCTGTGAACGTACTCTTTGATCCAGTGACACTGGCCTCCTCATTGTTCCACCCATAAGAACCTCCATCTCTCAGCTCTAGGCAGTTCTCTGGTCCCCATGCCTGGAATACTCCCCCTTCTCTGCTCTCCCTCCTGACCCACTTGGCTTCCCTTTAAGTGTCAGCTAAAATCCCACCTTCCACATGTAGGAAGCTTTCCCTAACCCTCCTAACTCCAGTCCCTTTCCTCCATTACTTCTTTCCTATTTATCCCCCATAAAGCTTCTTTTGTATAGATT